TTTCCGGAAATTTTCGAAAATTTTTTTATGGGTGGAGATCTCCGGAGATCTCCACCAAAAAATTTCCTGATGTAGTTGATTATATTTAAAACAACTAATTAATTAGAAATTCTTTGTCAATTAAGATTACCACATTCCAGTATATCAGTAATTATCCATCTCAAACAAGTTCAAATTTAGCAATAGGAACCTACAAATATACTTGTGAAAAAAACAATACAGAAACAATCAAGAACAAATCTAGCAGTAGCCATTCTCAAAGCAGCTAACAGTATAGGAATAACATATTCAAACTTTCAATAAAAAGATATTTTCAATAGAAAGAAGATAATTTCTTAATCAAAATATTGCTCAATAATTAGATAATATACAATTAGGCCACCAAATTCATGAGAAAGTACAATATTATATATATTGATCAATTTATAGAGAAGAAGATAGGTATTCTTCTAAGTTGAAAGTTTATTCAGTTCAGTTATAACCATAATAGAGAATTGAAACCTTATTGATATAGCAAAATCCAGGAATTAATAGCTAATGAGTTTGGAGTTCTCAATTTAAACTGGAAAGATAGAGAATAAATAAAACAAAAAAAAATATATTTTTTCTGGTTTATCAACAAAATGCAAAAAAATGGAAATAATAAGTACACTAAAAGAAAAACAATGATTTTGTTTGATATAGATTCAAAGAAACAAATAACCTTGCTATATAAGAAATTGAATTTTATCAAGCTATTAGCACAAGTACTAAAGCAACAAAACTTATTCAGATCAATTTGAATCCACCAAGCTTCTATAGAAACAAGTTCAAACTTTTATTTAATTGGCTAAATAATACTATAAAGCAAAGAAAAAGCAAGAAACCTTGTATTCCTACAAAGATTCATATACTCAAAAACTTAATCAAATCGAAGTTCAATTCCATAACTAATTTAGAATCTTATACGTCCAAATTTATAAGGATAAACATAATTGACTATAGGATATAGATTATTTAAAAAAATATTGAAACAACTGATCTGAGTCAAGAACTAAATAAAGAGTACAAGCTTAATAAGAACAATCAATATAAAGGCATATAATAATTCTATACAGATGGTTTGGTAGTAAAAACACAAGATTAAATAATTAAAATGGATATAGCCTAGCTACAAACCAAAGGATTAAATTCAAAGAGAAACTTTCAAACTAGAATATATAACTGGCTCTTACCAATAAAAGTTGAACTAGTAATAATTTTTTTGGTAATTTTAACAATACCAAACAAAAGAAAGATAGAAATTTAAATAGACAGTACCAATTGTATTAGCATATATTAGAAATTAAAATCTTTTATTTGAAGAATATAATTTACAAAAGAGTAAAAATTTCCAATTGACAAATTTGGTTGTGCATATTTGACATAATAATTAGAAAAGAAATTTAAGTTAAATTAATCAAGGTTAAAGCACATGGCCAAGATATAACCAATAATCAAGTTGATTAACTAGTCAAATTAGTCAAGAAAAAACAAAAAATCTATTGAATCGAATTGTCAAAAATCCTGTCAATCTCAATCTTACCCTGAAATAATATTTCAATAAATACTTCAATAAGACTATTTATCAAAGAGTTGTATGAAAGAAAAATTCTTATATAATGGATTAATCAGAACAGGATTCAAGTTAAATAAGAGAAAAAGATCCAAAATTCAAAAAAAATTAATTGAAAAGATTTTGGAAATATTGTAAAGGAAAAAATACTTTAAGTATCTTATTCAAACAAATGAAAAATAAAATATTCAAGATCAAATTAATTTATAATAAGTTTTTTACTCTAGATAATTTTATAAAATGCAACAAAATAAGTTATAGTAAAAATATGAGATATATATTCTGTAAGGCAGAAGAAAAAACATTAGATTATTTATTAATATATAGAAATATAAAAACAAAGAGAGAAGAAATATGACCAATCCTATAAAAAAATATTATAAAGAAATGGATCTCCAAACACTTTAGCTCTAAGATATCAAATTCAAAAAAAAATATTCAACTTTTAAAATAATGAAAAGAAAAAATTAAATTGGCTAAGAAATTAATCAACTTAAGTATAGAACTATAGAAGAAGAAAGAAATTATAGAATGGAAAACAAGTTTAAAAACTATCAAGATCTCTTATATTCAAGCTAAAAGACTATTATTCAAAATATTTAAAGCATGGTACAAGCTAATAAGATAATATTTATAGAATCCCAGATATGAAAAGATTCAAAAAAATAAACAGTCATCAAAACAACAATTTATAAAAGGAAAGGAGAAAGAGATAAATTCAAGTAGCTCAACAAAAACATATAGGCTTCCCAAAAGAAAAAAAATAAACAAATCACAAAAGAAGAAAAAAAAAACATCCAAGAAATATTACCTATTATTTTTTGTTCTTACTAGTAGAAAATGCAAGCAAGAAAATCCATTACAAGATATGAATAAGAAAAGAAGAGTTACAAAGAAGCTCAATGAAGTACTATGAATAAAGATTAAGGAAGGGAAAAGATGACTAGGAATATTAATTAAGATTTTGTCAAGATAAATTGTAGTAATAAACTGCAAGCAATGATTTCAACACTCACTTCTAAATAAGTAAGCAAAAATAAGCAATTTTATTTATTTTCAAAATCATATCTAGAGACAAATATGTTAAAGATAGGTATTTAAGTATAAAAGTTAGAGTTTGTGTATACAAGTAATTTAACTTATATATATTTTGCAATAAGAATAAATAAATCTTAAATATATTTGTTTAATTATGGAAAAATATATATATATAAAATCAACAATAAATTATAAAACATGTCTTTAGAAATTATTATAATAATCAAGTCAGATAGAAATTTATAAATATTTTGAAAAAAGAAATATCAAATAAAATAAAGAAAAAAAGAAATTTCAAATAATAAAACAAATAAATAAAATAAAAATAAAAAATATATTTAAAACAATAACAAATAAAATAACAAAAGTATTTTATAAGTTTTGAACTTAAAAATATAAATATTTTCAATAATAAAAAAGAAATAAAAACATTATAAAAAACTATACTATTAAATTAACAAGGTATAGTAAATAGATAAGAAAAAATTTTAATTACTGTATATAGTAAAAACTTATAGAAAACTGGTTTGATTAGAACAAAAACATAATTAATTTTTATTTTTATTATTTATATAATAACAACCTTAATAAAATTTTGGAATATATATTTTAAGATAAATTAATAATAATAATTCAATATAAAAAAAAATTTGATATAGCTTAATATATATTTAGATATAAATTAAATAAAGCATGTTAGGCAAAATCTAATTAGTTTAAAAAAATCAATTTCTTTAAAAATGCTTATTATTATTATTATTATAAGTTTTAATTAATATGAAATTTTTTTAAATTATATAATACTATTACTTATATTAATATTGTTTATTCTAGAACTTTTAAAAAAAGTAAAGTACTATTATATTTTTTATATAATTTTATTGATTTTGGATTTAAACTTGAATTTTGTAAAATAAATATAGATTAATTTCTATAAACTTATAATATAATATTAATTTTTTTAATAATGAAAGAATAATTATTTTAAATTATTTTTCTTAAGTTAACTAAATTTTTTAAAAAATTCTTTGTTATTTTAAATTTGATTATATTAACTATAAGTATTTTGAAATAAGATAGTATAATTTTATATTTATTAACAATAACATTATTTTTAAAAGTCTAAATAGAAAAAAAATAGAATTGGTTTATATATATTAATTAAATAATAGTAAAAAAATTAAAAAGAAAAAATATATTCTGAAATACTTTTTTTAAAATTTAAAAAATATTATATTGAATAATATTTTGTTATCTTTAAAGTTTTGATAAATTTATTATAATTATTTTTATAAGAAGTTTTTTTTTTATAAATCTATAAAAAAAATAAATTTAGTATTATTTAAATTATAACTTCAGATTATTTTTTTTGAAATTAAAATAATATTTTTTTACTTTTACTAATTAAAATAAAAAAGATTTAATGATAAAATTAAAGATATTATATAATAATTAATAGTATTTTTGTTTAAAAACTTGATAATTTTATAAATAATTTTAAACTGTTTTTATTAAAAATTTTTTTTTTGAAAGAAATTTGTCAATACTTAAAAAAGAATTAAAATTATAATATTTCTTAATAGCCAAAATTTATTTTGTTTGAAAAACTTTTGAATGTATCTATTGACAATTGAAAAAAATAATTCTTAAGAGTATTGATAAGAATCTAAATATTTTGTCAAGTAATAATAAAATTTTTAAAATAATGTTAATGAATTTATAGGAACTAAGAATAGATTATAAGAAAGGATTTTTTTGAAAAAAAAAACAAGAAAAAATGTTTAAAAAAATAATTGGTTTTATGCTTTTTAACTATTATACAAAAATTATATTTAAAAGAATCTATTGAAAACAATTGTAATAATTCTTATAATAATTTTTTGAAAAAGAAAGATAAAGAGATTTTTGGTAGTAAATACTTTTTAACTTCTTCAATTAACTTTTCAGATTTTTTAATTTACTTTTTTTTTTGTTATTTAAAAATCAAAAATAATATTAAAAGATCGAATTTTAAAAATTCCAATATACTGCATATAAAAAAAAGAAATTCTTTATCCATGTAGTAGTAGAAAAAAAGTTATTTTATATGTTTTTTAAAACCATCATTCCGTCTTGCTAAACTTGGACTCTGTACAACGAAAATTAGATATTCCTTGGGACATTATTATTTTTGGTGTAAGTGGATCCGAAATCGATGTGAATTACCATGTATAGAAATCCCTTTTAGCTTTAGTCTATATGTCAAAGGTCGACCGACATAACCGACATACGTGCACCGTACTACACAAAAAGTGATAGCTTGATAGGATGAAAACCGTCCTGCGGGTTCCTGGATGTTTTAAAGCAAGAATGTATAATGAGATGCAAACGCGAAGTTATACAAATATATCCGCAGTGTCGATAATAAATCTTTTAGATAAGTCAAGAATCCCAAAAGTTCAATTAAATCCTCCGGTATATCAAATATCGAATAAATCTACTGGTATGGAAAATAATTTGAAAAGCTATAATAAATGTGCTTTTAACTGTGCTGACACATATTCTTTGATGTTAGCCGAACGTTGTCTCGATATCTTGAAGTGCAACCCTTGGCATTCTGGATACGTTGGATTTGATACGGAAACCACGGTCCGCCGGATGAAAAACCCTCATGTGGTTTCTATGATTCAAATTGCTACCCGCGAAATTTGCTTTTTATTTCAAGTATATTTAATTACAAACGGCGATTCCAGAAGGTTTCCTAGGAAACTACAGCAATTCTTGAGCAATCAGGATATTTTAAAGGTTGGGGTTAATGCGAGCCATGACGCAGAATGGTTAAGAGATTCTTATAACATCAAATGCCAGGGAATTGTGGATATCGAGAATATCGCCAAAGAGAAAGGATACTCTGCGAGATCTCTGTTGGAATTAACGGCAATGTTTGGAGATGGAGAATTGGTCTTAACGAAAACGAAGAAGATTTTAAAATGGAATTTTGATGCGCCTAAACTTGATCCTGAATTAGTTTCATATGCTTCGTCCGATGCTTTTGCTGGAATTCAGGTTTATGAAAATATTCGCGTAGATAAAATGAATTGCGTTTACTTGAATTACGAAAAGGTTCACCCGATGACTAGGGAAGATGAGGAAAAGGAGATTTACGAGTTACTTTTGCAAAACTACCCTAAAGGCAAGGCAAGTAACATTCTTGAATGCACGGAGGATTCGATTTTATGTTAATATTTTGAATTGATGCTTTTTAGAGTCAAAAACGAATAGCATTGATCCAGTTGTTGGAAAACAAGTATGCTCGTTGGATTAAGACGAAGCCGAAATCATTGGACCGGCATCAAGAGGTGGTTAGAACTATCGAGAAATTCATTGGGGATGGACGTCTTATCGTGGTCAAAGAAGATAAACAATCAGATAAGACAAATTCCGATGTCAACAATGAAAAAAGTCAAAGCGTAAATGAGATGCCGACTTCGGAACCCTCTAGTATAGAAGTTGAGAGGTTCGTCAAACTTCCCGGTGTGCCCATCGAAGTTATTCTCGCAAGTTCATTTGCAAAACGATTCTTAAATTCAAAAGGTCTCTCACCCGAAGATTGCGTATTTTTCGAAGAAATATCAACATATGTTCTAAAGGCAATTAAAAAAGAATCGCTTGCTCGATTATATATTAATGATGGAAAAAATAAGTCAATAGACACTAAAGATGATAAAGTTATTAAAGATAAGCTTTACGCCTTGAGTCGTGTGGGCGCATTGAAACCAGGGGTGAAACATGACACTCTCGTATTTAATCCTGATTGGCTAAAAGAATTGGAAAGGGGATATGATGAATTTATCATAAAGAATCAAGACACTGAAGGCGTGACCGCGGGTGACACCGGTGGGACTGATGAAACTGGTTAACAACGGTAACCACAGAAAGCAATTACAAGTATTCGTCAAATCAAGCGACTCTCAAATCACCACTTATCAAATAAAACCCTAAACTAGAGGGAACATGATTTTTTGTGGAAACAACACGTATCCAGTTGATCTAATTATTTACTAAGACTCCACGCTTTATGGAAAAGCAAAGTCAAAACTTCGCCGACGAGCAAAAAAAAATTTTGACACATGGGAAAGATTCATAAATGTCCAAGTCTTCGACAACCTAAATATCCCTTAATGAAGATCTTCGTCAATTAATATAAATAGAAGTTCGTGTTTCATGACCGATACGGTAGAATTTATTATCAGAATAAGATTTCTGAAAAATATAATAAAGATATTGCAAAAACTATGTACAATGTAGAGCCGACGATGTTGAATAATAATAAA